TGATTGATCCCCAGGTCTAGTCTGACACCCAAAAGGCTAGTAGAGGAAGTGCTCATGCACTGGACCCATAGCCAACAAGACCCCCAGACTCCTTTTGAAGCCAAATGTGCATCTACCCTTCTAAGAAATTTCTGTGAGATGAGCCAGTCTGGCTGTTCCTGCCTTTTAGTGTTTTTAACCAATAAATAAAGGCAGAACTGTGATTGATTAGTTGTTTAGACAGCAGGTGATAGGAACCCCTGGTGTTGCTATCCACTCCCCTTGAGTGCAGTTTTCCTGCTTCTGTCTTCTTTTCTACTCTTTGGAATCTCCATATTTTGCTTTTCCTTTCTCCTAAGCAACCAGGCTGGACCTTCCTGCGGTGGACTCTTCTGAGATCAGATACGCCGTAGAAGTTAATTTTTGAAAATCCCGCTGGCACCGTTGCTGACATCAGAAATGAAATTGGCAAAGATGTTCCTGGCCATAGAGATAATGTGATACGAAAAGCTTCCTTTTCTTTATTTCTGCATAGTGGCCTGCTGTTAAAGACATAGGGACACTATGTATGCTGTGGCAGTGGCAATCCTAGATAGCCTACAATCTTGGTGGAATACCAAAAACGCTGTGATAATGCTTTTTTAAAAAATGTTTTGGAAAATATATTGAATTTGCCATAGCTCACCATCTCCATCTAGTGTCATATTTGTATATTGCACTTTATAACACACCTAAAATGTTTTATTTGCCACTACATAGCTGAGTCCCTGGAAAACATGGCCAGAGAAACTAAGAATCAGGATATGTAAGAAACACAAAGGAGAGTACAAGGAAATGTTGAGGCAATATTTGCTACTTTAAAAAGATGTGGGTGGAATTCAATATCGTTCTAAGGAGATTGTTCTGTCAGCACAAGCGTTTACGCTTGCGTCATGAAACGACCTCCCCATTTCACCCCCGCCCTGTCATCAGTTAATACAGGGATAAAATCTTATCACAAATCTCTCTTCAAGACAGAATCAGCTAAATAGTTAACCTTTGGTAGTACACACAGGCATTTTGCTTTGATTTTAAAGTAAAACATTGTATTAGACCACACGGCATTAGCTGAATAATTTTAAACTCAGCATTTGAACACCACCAAGAGTGAATGCCATTGTTGCAGGCATGCTTAGAGACCACAAAAATATAAATTGCTTTTCCTTTGCTGTAGCCTCTGCACCCTTTACTCTCTTATGTGTAACAAGCTTCCTTGCTGATCATCTTTCTAAGATGGAGGGTCCTAATCTTTTAAAACTTTCATCATATCACATAAGCTGCCTCATGATAGCGGGGATCGCTAGAATTCATAGATGATCCATTATTATAGCAAGAGCTTTGAAGAGACAGCAGGTGTAATTGAAACAACTGCCTATATATAAAGTTTTACTCTCCTTGTATAGCCATTCCTTTAACGAGGTTTTAGAACGTGTGTGAGCTACAGTTTGTCAAGACAGATTGGCCTGATTCATTTGTAACGCTAAACCATAATTTAACGCTTCATGCATGAGCCTTCTCCTTCTCCTCACCTCCAAAGTGTCCACAGAGCAGAAGTGTCTGCAGTTTCTCGTAAATAAAATAAAAATTAAATAAACGTTCACCCTGTTTACCATCCCAACCAGAGCCACATTCCTACAAGAATCTGCTGCATTGAAATGTCACAGAAGGAAATATCATTTTTGGTGCTAAACAGAAGAGTGTTCAGAACCTCTTTCGAGGAGCTTATCCCTATGTTTGAGTTTCCTGCAAATCTTGCCCCTCCCAAAGTGAGTTGCCTCTATTGAGTTCATCACTAACTTTGTGGGTGAGTGGGGGTGAGGTCGAGTGGCGATGTTTCTATTTTACTTAATGTACGTGTGGGGTTCTGTGTCAGCTTCGCTTGTGCAGGTTCTCTTTGCTATTCACTTGTGTTGCTTTGGTGTTGAGAGAGGTTGGGCGTTGGCCTGGGGTGTGGTTGTTCATTTGTGATTGGTTGTGGTGGGGTGGGTGGTTGTTTTGGATCAGGTTAGCCACACACACCCCTCCACCTCTTTCCACCTTTTCTTCCTAATGTAACACTAATGTCTCAACAAATGAAACTGATCTGTAGAAAACGTAATTTGAAAAAAGAGACATTGCACATACTTTGGTAAACCAAGAAATCTTTAATAAAAATACATTTTAATATTTTTTTTACTAACTTTGTGGGGGTAACGAAAATCTGGGAGAAGGAAGTTGGGGAACCTTGGCTTCTATCTTTATGGGCTCAAACAAGTCCAGAAGGCATTTTCCTCTTTCATAATTGGCAACACAATGAAAGCGAAGCAGTTTAATCACTCGGTAACAGAAGCCAGGTAAACACCCCCTGAAGGGGTTATGTCAGAGCTGCTCTGCTCTTTTTTCTTTCTTCCCTCTACACTACCCATTGAAGTAGACATGCAAAGTGGTGTTGGTGACGCCCTTGTTCCATCTGATGTTGCTAACCAACTGGTGTGCACAGGTAGGGTGGGAAAGCATGTATAAATATTAATAAAAGCTTTGTGTGTTTGTCAGGGCTGGGATTATGGTTGTTATGCATCTAATCTCACATACGCAAGAAGCGGCGCGGTGCCACACCTTTCAGCCCCGAGGTGAATGCTGCTGGAGCACTAAGATCAGCCGGCATAGCTTGCTTCTCACCAAAATGGCAGGTCTCTTAAGGAAAAACCTTCAGGCATACGGGTCTCGCTATGATCTTGGCTTGTGGCATCTCTTCACACCGGTTCCCAGAAAGTTTGCTAGATTGCACACCCTTGCTTTGAAAAAGCATGTTGGTGGTGTTGCCTGTTTTCCATGTAGCATTTATACATAGAAATAGATGTCATGCGCACATACTTCATATAAAATCTGCTTGTTGGTCCGTCCGTCCCCTTCTGTCTCTGTATTATGCCCTGCTGAACCAATTTTAAATTACCCTTTTGTTTATGAACTGTGGCCTCCAGTTGACTGTAGAAGAAGCCATGCCCATTTGATCAGGGAAGGGACTGGGGCATGCCCCTAATGAGCGCCGCCTGTTATCTTGTTGCTGTCTAGTGTCTTCCCTGTTCACTTCCATGTCAGAGGCGCCTGTAGTTAGTGTTTTCAAGACCAAAGCCCAGTCACTGGCAACCTGCCATGCTATATTTGAATCTCAAAACATACAAGCTGTTCTCTAAAAATACAGAGCCAAAAAAGGAACTCTGTGGCACTTCCTGAAGATCTCTTGCAAATGGATGAAGGCACCTTGTGGCTTATTTTTAAACAACCTCGGTGGGATTTGGGTTTGGAAAATAACTATTTCCTCCTCTTTTTTTAGTTAAATAGGATATACTCAATTTTATATGGATGCCTTCTAATTGAAGTATTACCTAAGAGTTTAAGATAATAAACACTTTTTTTTTTTTTAGACCATTCATGGTCCTCTCCCATTGCCTCTTCTAAACAAAGCAGCCCTAATACTCTTGGCTGTTCCTTGTAGGGAATGTGTTCTTTGTAGGGCTGCTTCTGCTTTGCAGCAGGGTACAGTGGTATCTCGGGTTACAGACGCTTCAGGTTACAGACTCCGCTAACCCAGAAATAGTATCTTGGGTTAAGAACTTTGCTTCAGGTTGAGAACAGAAATCGTGCTCCGGTGGCGTGGTGGCAGCTGGAGGCCCCATTAGCTAAAGTGGTGCTTCAAGGTAAGAACAGTTTCAGGTTAAGAACGGACCTCCGGAACGAATTAAGGACTTAACCCGAGGTACCACTGTATAGCGAGGAAATGTATGAAGGAAGGTATTTGGTGTTTGAATGGTGCATCAAGACTTTTGAAAGCGGAGGTAGCTAACCTGATGTCCTCCAGATGTTTTGGACTACAACGCTCAGGCAACAAAATATATTGGGGCGGATATGGTTCTATGTGCTCAATAACCCTTTGCTTCTCTCACCTTGCAACACCCCTATGCTGGTTTCTAAGCCTCTCTTGAAATTCACACAAACTGTTTGTCCTCATTTTCATGATCCTTTGCCAGCTTCCCCCACCTGATCTTCCTGCCCTTGTCTCTCAATAAGCCCTTTCCCATTGATTGTCACTCCTTCCAACTCTTCTACCCATACTCGGTCCCTGCTCCTGCCAACCTAGCAGTTCAAAAGCACGTCAAAGTGCAAGTAGATAAATAGGTACCACTCCAGCGGGAAGGTAAACGGCGTTTCCATGCGCTGCTCTGGTTCGCCAGAAGTGGCTTAGTCATGCTGGCCACATGACCCAGAAGCTGTATGCCGGCTCCCTTGGCCAATAAAGCGAGATGAGCGCCACAACCCCGGAGTTGGCCACGACCGGACCTAATGGTCAGGGGTCTCTTTACTTTTACTTACCACCATAATAATGTCTAAAACACCTGCAATTGCATCGAATTAATTTCTCGTTACCCTTCCTGCACTCCCATCACTCTTCCCCATTATTATCAAAAACTGCAAGATCCTCGAGGCAGAGGCCTGAATACTTCTTTTTCAGTAGGCATCATGTCATACGATGGTGACTAGACCTTTGCAGTTTCTGATTCACCAAACAGAATTCAGTCTTGTAGCTAGTAAATCTGGTTTTTCTCTATCAGGGACTACAGAAACAGGTTTATCTACCCCCTTCAGGGCTATCATTAATCATGGGTGGTGGGTTGAATCCACACTGTGCAGGGTGTTGTCCAGCAGCAGCATTTAATAAAAAAATCTGGCAGATTTCTGTGTGGTTTTTGTGGTTGTGTTCTTGCTTTTAGAGCGTCTGTGTTTGATGAGGTTTAGCTTTCCCTTTGGAAAGTGGTGTGCTGGAGAAAATGACAATTTTTTAATAATGTGCAAATGACGGCCATGTGAACGTCTGCTACTGCAGATCCAACCTGATAAAAATTAATTAATTGTGCTGCACTTATAACAAGGATGTGAGGATGTCGCCTAGGAAAGGGTGAGACAGGAAGAAATAATACCATTTCACTTTGCTCTTCTCAAATCAGTTGCAGGATTTGTGCTGATATCTCTGTGCTCTGCTATCATTGAAAGTAGAGAAACAACAAGATAGATGGTTCGCTATCCTTACCTACACAGCAAGACTGGAGCAACCCTAAAATGTTTGCTAAGGTGAGGTTGAGCCAAGGGACTCATACGCCTGCCCTTACTTTGCACATCCAGTTCTGCTAATCATGAGTTTTGACAAAGAAGTCAAGATCCTATGTGTTCAAATGGCTGTAATCTATTGTCCTTCTGGCCATCCGATAGCACTTGTATTGTTGCTACAGTGGGGATTGAGCTAGTACTGTTCTTCTCAGCCTGTAGACAAGACAGATTGGAAGGGCAGCATTTATCTCATGTATTTATCTCTTGTGCCGTGTAAGAGTAGATGGATGGTTCTGCTTTTGAAAAGGTCACTCTACCCTATTTTTAATCTGGAGTGCATATGCCATTACACTGCATCACCTATATGGACTCCAGCATCTCGGGGAGAAACAGCAATAAACTATTGATCCATCTTCCAGTAATAGTTTTTAACCACCCGACTACCACCAATCAAAAGCATATTCAACTGCGGTAGGGTCAACTCCCATGTTGGATAGATGGACAAACAGTTTAATTGTGTAAAAAGCCCCCATTAATGAAGTGTTGTTGATGATGTTGCCAATGAGATTGATAGGTTTTCAACTGACAAAATTGAATGTGGTGCTTCAGCAGTTGCCTATAGTTGGGAAGGTTTTTACTCCTCTGACATATGTATGTGGTTCACTTGTAGATAAAGAAAGGCCTTGCTTTACGGCCATACCCAATCTGGTTGCTATGGTAACTAACTGCCAGGATTGAGGGCAAGGTGGCAGCTGGTAAGGTAGTTTAGAATTACAAAGGGGTGGCTATGCCTTAGCCCCGCAGTGAAACCAAGCCAGTTGATGCTACCTAGTGATAAAAATGTGTCACTGGACAGAGGGGCTCCTTACCTGGCTTCTCACACCCATCCTCTTAAAAATCTCTGGACAGCATCCATGTTCTCTTTTCTCATGATTGTAGTGTGCTCTGTTGTGGGAATACTGATCTTCTTTATTGCTGAAGTATATTTATTGATTTATAGGGTAGGATAGGCACCAGGTTAGGGAAGACTGGTTTAGGCTTTAGAGCAACCTTTCTCAACCTTGGGTCCCCAGCTGTTATTGGACTACAACTCTCATCATCCATAGCTAGCAGGACCAGGTCATGGATGATGGGAGTTGTAGTCCAACAACATCTGGGGACCCAAGGCTGAGAAACACTGCTTTAGAGGGATATGCGAAGAAGGGTTCCTGCAGTGATGTCAACAGTGCAACAACAATCTTTCCTGATCCTCTCTCCTTTCTCATTACATTTTTCCTCATGTTTTTATCTGTGTTTGCATCTACATCTACATTCTTCATTATTTTTGCATCTGTCTCCCTTAAGTGCAAAACTCTTGTCTCACTCTCGTTTTTTTTGGGATGTGCACAGGCTGCCAAACATATAAGGACACCTAGATGGGAAATCAATTTGCAAAACAAAAGAGACTTCATCTAAAAGATAAAGGCTGTGATCCTAACCCCATTTACCTGTAGGCCACATTGAATTCAGGAGGACTTACTGAATAGACATGGCATGGATTGTTCTTATTAGTTAAGCTGGTGTGCTCGGATACTGCAGAGGGGCAAATCTTTGAATTACATTCATTTACAGGCTAGAAGGGAATAATTATAGGCTACTGGCAGCTGTGGGAACAGGATGGGTGCACATCAACACTGTGGAAATATTAAATGGATCCCTTTTGGAGTCAGAATTACCATCTGCTTCCTCTCACTGTTCACATTATGCAGGATGTATACCTTTGACTCCTTCCATCACATGACTAATTTCTATACCTGCCATGGAGCTGGGTCTTTAGATCCCCTCTCCCCACACACTTTGGGCTCCGTGCTATTGCCATACAGTGATGACATGATATGTGCTACACCATGAACAGAACTCCTCCTCAAATAGAATCCTGCAACGGCAGTAGCTAGGTCTTTTCTGGGATCCCAGGAATCACTATGGCGCCATGATGGTGGCTGCAGGGACAGCTTCAAGGAACAGAGCATCCTATGGACCGCAGCACTGTAGAGCAGGCACCCCCAAACTCAACCCTCCAGATGTTTTGGGACTACAACTCCCATGATCCCTAGCTAACAGGACCAGTGGTCAGGGATGATGGGAATTGTAGTCCCAAAACATCTGGAGGACTGAGGTTGGGGGTGCCTGCTCTAGAGGCATGATCCACAGGCCATGTGCATAAGGGAACACAGATTATTCAGGCAAAACAAGTGTTCATAATAAAGTAATTAGAAGTGTTACACACACACCCTTCACTAATAAGAAATCAATTTCATTTCTCTCCTTGCCACATACTCCTGAAATACAGCCTTGGTGTATACTGACCCTTAACAATATCTTCTTAGGAAAATATAACTGCTTTCTATGGGAAGTATTCAAGTAATGTTTTGTGCCTTGAGATTTTATTACAATCAAACAGTAAATAAATATTGTGACATAAATAAGGATTAGTGCTACATCAATTGAGATTCCCCCCCATCCCCAAATCTGCTCCAGAGGGTTGGAGGAAACCCCAGCACAGAGTTAGGGGGCGGGCAGGGAAGAAATCTTTTCACAGACAGAATCTTAGTGCTATCACCACATTAAATACAGCCCTGTATCTGAAAGTTTGCAGATATTTCTTGTGTTCCTGTTTTTGTTTGTTTTTATCCACTAAGCCGAGAATTCATCTGATTTCCTTGTGTGCGTGTGCAGATCTAAACACAACTGACTGTTTCTCTACCTCTTCCTCACAGGAAAGTTTTTGCCATGCCAGCAGGAATCTTCCGGGTGTGCCTGGTGGTTATCACGGCTATCGTCAACCATCCGCTCCTCTTTCCAAAGGAAAATGTCACTGTTCTGGAAAACACACAGGAAGTCATCCAGAAGATGAAAGAGCGGGAGGAGAACCTGAGGCTGGAGCAGCTTAAACTGGAGCAGGAGATTGCCATGCAGGAGACCTTAACAGAGCCTTCAGTGAAGGCTGCGGAGACAGAGGAGCAAAACAATCACAATCCCCTCTCTTGGAATTTCTGGACTGCTTTGTCCATGGTGGTTTTCCTTCTGATTGAGTTCTGGAGGCAGGACTACAAGGAAGGGACTTGGCAGAATTATGCCAATGAGGAGGATGAAATTAGTGTCCTTGGGAAAGCGCTCAAGGGAGTCGTCCTGCCAGACAATGCCACATTGGCCAACTTCTATGAAAAATGCCTCCAGATTGTGACCAGTGATATTGCCAGAAACCGAGAGCTTGTGGAAGGCTTTGCAGATGACTTGCTGGAAGCCCTGAGAAGTGTGTGTAACCGAGATGCAGACATGGAAGTGGAAGAATCCATAGGAGTCGGGAGCATGTATGAGAACTGGAGAGCTCACAAGCCCTTAGCTTGTGACTTCATTGTCCCTTTTACCCCTCCGGAGCCATATTGTTTCCAGTTAGAAAGCTGGTGTTCGGAAGAAACCGTCTCCCCAAACAAACAGGGTTATGGGATGATAAAGATCTTGCAGGCGGATGAGAACTCAACAGGATGTATCTGTGACAAGACTAAGCTCGGGGAAGACCTGCTGTGTCTTCTTCACAGCAAAATGAACCAAGCTAGGCAGAACCAACATATGGAGGACCTCCTTTGTTACAAGGACACTCGATACCTTGATTCTGACCAGGTTATGACGTGGTTCCAGCTTGCGCTTACTAAGGCATGGAACAAAATTTCACACAAGTACGAGTTCAACCTCACTTTCAATCTCCTGGATGCGCCTGGGGCTCTAAAAATCAAGTTTCGATCTGGAAAGACCATTACTTTCAACCTCACCCCGGTGGTACAATATGCTGATTCTGATGTATATTTCATCTCCCATTTCCCATGCAATAGCCTGGCAGAGGGCTCCTCTTCCAGCATTCACTGGCTTCTCACGTTTGCAGTATATGAGAAGAGATACATCCAGTTTATTTGCAAAACTCTGCCTGCCAACTCCTGCCACCTCAGCTGCCTCCAGATTCTGTCCTTCCTTCACGGAAAGCAGTGCAGTCTAACAGGAGCAAGCAGCCTTACAAACTACCACTTGAAAACAGTGATGCTACATTTACTACAGACACTTCCTTGTGCAGACTGGGCTTCTACACAGCTGCAAGCCAGGCTGCAAGACATGCTCAGATTTTTAGAGAAAAGCTTGCAGGAAAAGAGGCTTTACCACTTTTTTGTTGGGAACAGACACCTTCCAGAGGAACTGGGTATCCCCATAGAGTTCCAAAAGGCAGAACCTCTAAACCTTTTCCGCCGCTTTGTATTGCAACGAGACACTTACAGAAAGACTATGGACACGTTTCATGAGATGCTAAAGAACACAGCAGCTTTAATAAATGAATATGCCATGCATGTTCCCAATGGACGAGTGACCTCACTACATAAAGAACCCCTGTAGCCAAATCTCTGAGAATTACAATATGAACAGATCTCCCCCATTGGGAGCAAACTGCTTTATATGCTCACATAACTCCAAAGATTGGTAGAATGGAGATACTTCTCTCATTTTCTTCCCAATGTTGTTGGCTGATATTTATGCAGCTTCTAACGTTTAAACTGTAGTGTATAAAGTTTGTTGTAAATAGTTTAAGCAAAGGAGGTATCTAATTTATTCCTATATCGACATTACAGACCTTGGGATTTGGTAGTCTGTGTGGTTTGTTTATGTGAAGATGGAGATGGTGACAGCTCTGCAAAAGGAGTCCTTGTAGGAGAGAAAACATAGTTTGAAAATTGGTGATAGATGTTCAGCCCTGTACTTCACAAATGATCAATCATCCACTGTGAAGGGAATTCTTTTATTTTGTCCTAAACTATTAAGCAAATGCAGAAATAGGTTGCAGAAATATCAGTTCAGTAGAGCTTCCTGCAACTATCTAGATAGCCTCTACATACTTCCACACCCTGAGCCCCTGGAGAGGATTTAGAATTTCTGTCCACCTCCATGAAGTATATACATATCTATGAACCAATGGGAATACCTACAAAAAGCTATCCAATGATGCAAGCATCATGCAGGGTATTTGAGCATGCCTTTTCTACATTTCCAGCTACTATTACTTTTAAGACTTGACGCACCACTAAAATACCTTTTTCGTATTTCTCTCCAATAGCACCAGACCTAACTGGCAAGAATATTTTCCAGAACTGTTAGATTAACCACGGGCCTAAACAGATCATTACCTTGGTGCCAGGGATCTGAGTTTATGATGCATTGCACACACTCTGGTTTATTTTTACATGTTAAGTGTCACAGGTAGACCACAGCAATAAACTGCTGTTCTCAACGAAATGAAAGAATGACCATATGTTTTAAGATTTCCTGAAATTCAGGTTGTTCTTCAAAGATGACATCCTGGATTGGTGTCCATATATTTGGTGTAATGTGGGGGAAAGGGAGGACAAAAATTCAGGTATGGGTTTTTTTAAAAAAGGATCCTTTTGAAAGGCAAAGGTGCTACTAGTTATAGTGGCTGGGCTCTGGCTCCACATTTGGAAACAGCAATGCTTCTGAATACCAGGGATCCACAGGAGGCGAGAGTGCTCTTGGCCTTGGGCCTGCTTGTGGGTTTTCCGCAGGCATCCGATTGGCCACTGAGAGAACAGGGTGCTGGATTATATGAGCCATTGGCTCTTCCTTTGCTGTTTTCCATCTTGCATTTGTATCTGCTGCGATTCTGAACATGTGCCAGGTTTTGTTCTTTTCTGGAAAAGGGCTTTGGAAATGGCAGTTATCACTTAGACAGGGGTCTGCAACCTGCGGCTCCGGAGCCGCATGTGGCTCTTTTGCACCTTTGCCGCGGCTCTGGGGCGGATACTAGCGAGGGGAGGAGGCGCATTGTGCGCCCCGACACTCCCCACTGTGGCGGGCGCTGTACTGGCTGTGACGTCGCATGGGGGCGGTGCGTGCGTTAGTCACGCACCGTCCCAACGTCACCTTCCCGGTTTTGCGGCTCCCAGGTTTTTTTCCCTTCGGAAACGGGTCCAAGTGGCTCTTTTTGTCTTAAAGGTTGCAGACCCCTGACTTAGGAAGTAAGACTTTACTACTGCTGCTGCTACTATTCTCTAGTGCCCAGGCTGCATTGCTACGCTGCTACTTCTTAGACGGAACACTCTGTGTTCTAATAGCAATAGTTAAATGCCAACTGCAGTGGGGGGATGGGGTTTGTTGTTTTTGTTTTAGGAATGGTCTCCTGAACGGAGAACTTGATGGCTGGATAAACAGAAGTACGACCACCACATAGGTTCATGAAAGAACCAAACGTGATGATAGGCAGAATTTTCATCTTACATAATAAAGCACTGCTCTCCTGTACGTTACCTGCATGCCCATGTAGCAGTGTAGGTCCACTCAAATGACACACAGAGAACATGGTTCCTGCCACCACAAATCTCTATTTAATCCGTTACTAGGAGGGAGAATATAGGGATCAAATTGTGCCCCTGTCCCACTCCCAGAAAACAACATACCATTTGTGCTTTGTTAATGGCCAGCCAATGCCTTTGCAACCGGATCTCTGGGTGGAAGGAACCATAGGTGCATATAGTACCAGTATGTTTATGCAGTTCTTATGCACATTTATGATTCTAGCTGGAAAGAGAGCTTTCTGACACCTGTATTTTCATTAAACTCTGTCTTCCGCCAGTTCCTTTCATGGAGCTACAATTCTCAAGATTATCCTGGGAAGATCATTAAACCACTCGGGGAATTGTAGCTCTATGAGGGGAACAGGGGCCTCCTAACAACTCTCAACTACCTTGACAAACTACAGTTCCCATGATTCTTTGGAATGGCACTGTTTTAAATGTGTAGTGCAGATGGGGCTAATAATAATAATAATAATAATAATAATAACAGGCCTAATAATAATAATAATAATGGGCCCAAAAAGTGCATTTCAGCAGGTAGGCTAGTTACACATCCTACTGGAAAGAGCTTGCTCACACAATGCTATTTTTCTAGAAAAAGAGGTGACAGAACTTACCATGAACACAAATTCTGGCTGGGGAAAAAAAGCCCTGCCCACACACTTCTTTTTAAATCAGCCCACTGGTTATTTCACTGACTCTGTGCAAATGCTTATTTGTTATCTGACCGACTTTAGGGACAGTGAAAGCTGAGCAACTCCAGTCCCTAGTAGAAGTGCTGAAATATCAAACCAAGCGTAATGTGCTCCTTTTGGCCCACACTATAAGGACATAAATCCATGACTGGAAAAAAATTATATAATGTAAAAAACTTAAGCGGAAGATGGAAGAAACAGTTAAAACCTCTCTACCTTTTTTTAAAAAAAAGTGTAAAGGTCTGGAAAATGGGTTTTGAAAAATGACAAGTCCAGGGAAGCCATAAAGAGGTGTCAGACACCTCAGTGCAATACCTTCCTCCTTGTAGCGTTCCTTTTCTAGGCAGCTTCTGCACTTTTAAATTTTTAATGTTTCTTCCATTCTTGTCAACGTGCTATATAATTGACTCCTTGTAAAATAGTGGCTCCAGTTAATAGGCCTATTAAACAACCCATTGCGACTTCAGTTATTTTATTTTAAGTAATTACATGGTTGACGTGGAAAAATCTCTCTCTTCTTTCTCAGTCAGCAATATTTCCAGTTTTGCTGGTCTTGAAACAAAGCTCTCTGAGGAAACACAAAATCTGAATGTTTATAGTACGACGCTTTTTGGGGTTATGCGTTTCCACAAGAGTTACTATCCTTATCTAGGTCATTATCAAGCACTCGTGAGGGGTTTAATTAAACTGATGCTTTAGTAAGACTTTAAAAACACAGATATTTACATTTAGTCTCCAAAATGCAAGGTATTAAAAATGTCTTACTCAGCAAGCAAACCAGACTGGTTAAAACAATTTGAAGTATACATACTATACTTACCTTCCTTAACCTTCTGCATGAGCAGAAAAACATTTTGGGGAAGGATAATACTAAGATTTTGACTGAGTGCATTCTTGCTTGGTAAGCCTCATGGAAAGCAGTCAGACTTTTCTGACAAAGCAGTACTTAGCAGTATGCTACACAGACCAGTTAATAGGCTGTGCTTCTTTCTGGATGTCCAGTCTTGTGAATGTTCTGGAACATGCCTAGGTTGCCGTTGAAGGAAGAACTCATGGCAGAAATGGGAGACTCTCTTTGCAGGAATCCAGTACGGCCTGCACTGGATTTTGAGGCTGAATACACAGGACAGCTGCCACCTGCAAAGACTAGTTTAAAGTCATTTCAAATGGCAGCTGTCAACCTGACAGAAAGGTGCTTGGGGGTGCCTCAGGAAGAGTTAAGTGATATTTCCATTCCATCATTAAAAAAGGAAAAGAAAAAGCAAGCAGCCTCCATTGTATGCCTGTAATGTATGCATTCATCCTCAAGGTGACCTGAATAAGATTTATGCTTTATGTATTATTAATGGAAATCCACCAGTGGCAAAGGCGTTGTGTAACCAAAGAAAAAGGGGAAATTGCTCATTTTCTTACTTTGCATCCTTTCGGCTATAGCTCACTATCTTCCCAAGAATAAGAGAACGTGCGTTGTTCAGTAAGTAAATCTGCAATTGGGCATGTTTTATGCCGATTCCAATTTAAGCAGAGTCCACACAACATACAATCATTCAAAAAATCTTTTATTTCATCTTCTACCATTGCCATTCCTTGCCTCTTGTAAAGGACCCAGGATAATGGCTGACACCAACTTGGTAAATGACAAAGTAGTATATACCGCTTGCTCCAATTCTTTATTGTTTACTGTGGAACTGCCAAAAACTTCTAAGACGACAACAGCAGCTGCCCACATGTGGTATTTGTCCATGAAGACATGACTTCTGGGATAATATCCTTTTCTGATGCAGCACCCACTGCTGTTGCCTTAACAGCCTTGAGAATTGTGCATTGTTACACTTTTTTGGTTGGCTACTTACAGCTAGAACCAGCCATGGAACCAAGCTGCAATGTACAGCACAGAGGTTGAATCTAAGTCATTGTGTTTGTGGAACAACTACTGCACTGCCCCTAAATCTCTAGAGGGTCAGGAGAATCCCCAGAGCAGATTGGGTAACAGGGGCGAGGAGGAGGAGAGAGGGTAAGCTCTGTTAACATGACTGGCAGTTGTTCTGTTCACTCAATAATTGGATTCAAGCCCAGGTGGGCTGGTTCTACATGCAAATGGAAAATTGCAAGTAACTGGGGCAGAGTATAGACAATGTAGAACAGCTGAAAAATAGCCAAGAGCTGTACCTCTGCCAGGTGGAAAGGCAGCAGCAGTAGTAATAATAATAATAATAATAATAATAATAATAATAATAATAATAATAATAATAATAATAATTATTTATACCCCGCCCATCTGGCTGGGTTTCCCCAGCCACTCTGGGCAGCTTCCAACAAAATATTAAAATACAATGGCCTGTTAAACATTAAAAGCTTCCCTAAACAGGGCTGCCTTCAGGGCTGGTTGAATAATATCCCTACATGATGTAAAGCTGTTCATACAAGACCCCTCATCTATTTAAGTTGGCAAGTACAAGCGCTGCTTTGCATAAGGTTGCCAGCTTGCCCAAATTCTATACTTATGCCACGTTATCTGAATAGTAAAGAGGATGGGCTGTCGCACATCCCTTGCATGCCAAAAGATCCAGGTTCAATTCCTGAC